GAAGACCGTTGTACCTCCAAATAGATAAATGTTAGCATGTGAATCTTCTTGGTCGCCAAAAGCTGTGTGTGCTAGTGTATAGGAACGAATGTTTCTTCTTACAGGCTCGGAGCGCTAGCACCAGTAGCTTTAGGAGCGTAAGCCAGGTAATGGAAGTACGCAGTACGCTTCTCGCCATCCATCACGCCTCTCCATTTACATTGTCTGTTTGATTTGGTTGGTTGTTTTGGTCGGCAATGATTTTTACTTTAACTACAGTCACTAGCACTTTATGTGTAAAAACTTGTCTTAACTTAATTATTAATTTATGAAGTTCCAAGACAGCTGCAATGGTATCCTCAATAACTGCTATAGTCTACGTAAGCTTATCAGTTTAAAATTCTCTATTTACAGAAAGTGATATTATGTAAGAGAGATGACTTCTCAGAACAATATTAAAAGTCATTGCCAAAATGATTTTTGTCATGACCCATGAGTCATTCGCGTTACCTTTGTAGTTTGTTTTAGCTGTAGCAGTAGAATCATCATCATCAGGCGTAGAATCAGCGACGGTAAGTGGCGACACACAATCAGACAAAACATCTCATCGTAGAAATTCGATAGTTGAAGAACTAATATTCATTTTGGAATAACAGATTTCAAAACCAAACAACATTACAAGCTGATTATACAAATAGCCACAAACTGGAAATAGTGCTAAGTAGTTAAAACAATTTAAACACACGGTGTTACCGTATTACGTATTAACACTTTTGGTTTTAGGTCAAGCCAGTGATTAAAACAGGGTTACAGAATTGCAAAAAGCTTTAGATTTTCGTGAACACTTAATTACATTACTATTACAAACTAGACTAAATTCAGGATTTTAGGCATCAATTTTATTTTTTATCTTTTAATCAAAATTCATAGCTCTTCAGAACAAATTGTACAGTACCTGATCATTTACTTACGAATACTTCATTATGTGAGGAGATTTGATTTTTACCGTAAGTATTGAGTTATTAACAAATTACGTACATTGTAACTACTTTATCTTAGTTTTTATCCCAGAACCTACCTACAGGTCTAGTGTCTTCATTAAGAAAAAGTGATAAATCATTCTCCAAAAATGAAATTCGATTCGTTAGCAAATGCAAAACGAACAATCGCTTGTACTTCGAACTCTGCTCGATCCCGAAATTAGGTCACGAGTCCCATCCAGACTAATGAGCAATTGGTGGGGTACGATCCAATAGTGGGACCGTTATGAACAACGATTTAATGGAGCCGTTATGAGCAGCGCTTTTGTTACAACGGGAAAGGCTCTTTTATTACATAATTTGTCTACGGTACTAATAAATATAGAATTATCATTGATTATTGCTAGCTTCATAAACTACTTTTACTTACGAAGTTTTCAGTTGCTTTGTGTAAATGGCAAATCAGACAAAAATATTTATTAAATTTTTACCTATATATTGGAACTTATGAACGTCGAAGATAATAAAAAAGGTAGTCCTTTTCATGTCTCCTTATCTTTTGGACCCTATCAGCAGCGCTTCGAGACAAACATACTATGGTAACTAAGTGCTTAGAAGAAACGCCGGAACAAAGTCATATTCGGACGTAAGAGTACTCGCAAATGCAATACCTTTGGTATTGTTTTAAGAATTGTAGAGCGTTATACTAAGTAATTTCAGTACCTACAAAAACGAGTTTTGTATCAATGTGCTAGTTAATTTACAAATCTTAGCTGAGAGAAATAATCCGAAATCCGAAAAAATTAGCAGTAGCCGAAGCTCTTTCGAAGCACTATGTGATTTCCATGCTAAAGTGTAAAAGGCTTAAGTTCCAGCTTAAACTGGGGCTGGCTTAGTTCGATCCCGTGAAATTTATTCGAAGCCTGGACTAAATCCTTTCCGAACACGTGTAGACAAGTGCTCCAGAAACCTAGTTTCACTCTTGTAATCTCATTTAAGTAATCCTGACTAATTCGAGTATCTAATGCGTGAGCTCGGCCTTTATATGATGCGACTTTTTGCAGAAATACAAGCACGATATAGTATATTTGTTGTCCCTACTGTCGGTCGCAAATCGTGTAGGTATTTTTACGTGTTTTACACTATAAATTGCAGCTTTATAAACGCGACCGAGTCTCAAAATAGTGAAATGAATTTGATCAAGATGAGAAGGTGAACGTAAAATTGTTTACTACCAGCTGGTAATCCGCTTTACAATGGAGGGAAGTCGAACCTTAACTTCAAACTCCTCCTATGTTCTTCTGATTAATTTCGTTGCGGGTCCAATGACAGTTTAACTTTCCCCCGGGATTCCCGGGACACACTTGGCCTTCACTGGTTGGGTTTTTATTGGTGGTCAAGCTGTAGATCCTGGCTACACAGGAGTTGCAGTGGTGGGAACGAGAGGTGGGAATAGTCCCGTACCAGCTGATAGAGCGCAAAAAGTTTTACTCTAACGCGCGCTCTTTGATTCTATGTAGGATCAATAAAGTTGTAAATTATTTACCTTTACATCCACGTTATTAGAAACCGAGCTACCTACTTAACATTCGTTATCTAGTTTTATTCTAAACTTCGCGCTTCGTATCGTATAAACGTGCTGCCAACATAAGGATAAGTGTCAAAGTTGTCACCAGTCATTTGTAAACACGTTCACAAATTAGCCGGATTACCCCGATTCGATATCACAAAAGTTTCAGCAAAGCAGAAAGTCTCATATTTCTTTCGAAAACTTTTCTTTTACGCCCAATTTGTCTTGTGTCACGTTAGCAAAGAATTCGCGGCATTTATTTTTCGGGCACAGAAAATATTGATGTGGTACTATGCAGGCGATATATTTTTATATCAAAAAACTAGCTGACCCGGCGAACTTTGTTCCGCCTTAATGGCAATAAATAACGGGATAAAAAGTATCCTATGTCCTTCTCCTGGCTCTAAACTACCTCCCTGTCAATTTTCAGCTAAATCGGTTCAGCCCTTCTTGAGTTATAAGCGATATAGATAGGTAACCGTTATAAGCAGATTTTTTTTTAAAATAAAGTTCACGAGGCCGGCCATACATTTAAATTTAAACAAGACGAAATTTTCCAGCATTTTTCTTAATCATTTTAACACATTTTTTTTTCACGAATTGGTTCCTAAAATTAGATAAGCAGGTAGGGGTCTAAAAAATGTGAACATGTTTTATACCTTTGCGCCATGTACCTAATATAAGTCACCATGTTTATGTGTGGTTCATTTCAAATGTTTATACACCACAACACTACATGTTATTTTCAGATCACCCCAGAATTGTGAATTTACCCAAACGACTGAATTCCAGTCTCACATTTCTCCCAAGCGGCTCTAGAATTTTATTCAGCGGATCCTTTACACTGTTTTCATTTTCTATTTAAATGCATGAAATTCAAGAATCTTATTGGGGCCTGCGATACATTATACGTAAATTCAAATTCTCTCAAGTATGTGGTTAAGTGAATTTTCGATGATAGCTTTGTAAATTTTATATGACGCTTAAGCTTTCAAAGAAAGTAATACTTACAGTGATAATAAATATTTAATGTGGTGTAAGAATTTGTACATACATGAATTTTTTAAGGTAAATGCATGACTGTATTATTTGACTTCAGTTACATGTCTTTCAACCTTGGGGGAGGCCTTTGTCCAGCAGTGGACGTCATTTGGCTGAAACAACACATGTCTTTCAATTTAGAAGTATCTGAATTTGATAAAAAATAAAACATAAGATTAAAAAAAAAAAAACATGTGTATCGAATACATGAATTTTGTAACAAAACCAAATCTCTGTATTTTTTTTTTAAATCCAGCAGTCAAAATTTTATGCCAAAGTAGCCAAAAAATTTGCAACAATGTTTTGTAACGAGATATTTGACGCTGACTGTACTGTGATGAAGTACTTACACAAGGAATACCTACTAAACGAAATCGCTAGATTTTAGACTAAACTGCTTCGACAAAAACTTCAAAAGATAGTTAAAAAAATGTAGGTAGTCGTACTGCTTATGTCAATAGCAGTAATTCAGTAAGTGAACACAAAATGACAATCTAATGAAATAATATTTAATTCAGTGGTGCAATCAGTGATAAGTGTAGGTCTAGGTTCGATTGCTAACGCTGTCAAGTCATTTCTTTAATTCATTTTGAACTTTATTCTAAGGCTATAAAGAATATATTGGCCCTTTTGTGGTAGATTGATTTGCTGTCGAACGAAGAGTTGCATAGAGGTGTATTATTTCAGGATAATTGAGGTATTATTATTATTGATTGTAGTTCTTCAAACACACGAAGAATTTAATATTACCTATGTGCCATGTTATTTATTTATTGAATGATCATTGCTCGGAGTTGTTTCTTTGAATTTTAAACGTAAAAATAAAATAAAATAAAGGTTAATGAAGCAAAAGTTACCAGTTAAAGTTAAAGTAGTTAGTAAGTTAGTAGTAAAAGTACTGACAGATAAAGTTAGTTTCGCATAACTCAAGCGCAAAAGCTTCTGTCAAATAATAGAATCTATATTAATANATGTATAATTTTCTCCCCACAACCCCGCAGACAAAAATTAATCTCAACAATGTACCTACCACAGTAACATTTCTGTAGCTTACCGCAGCTTACAAAATGGTGTACGTAAACATCATTTCTTTAGACACACAAAGTAGAAGCACATTTGCCTCCAGCCATGGTCTGAAGTGTCCTCTGCGAAAACACCACAAAGCTCCAGGACGGCGCTTTGACGCGTTTGAAGCTTTCCTGTGTTAATTAAGCTCTAGTTTTGTCGTGCTTGTACGAGTGGTTGGACTTTCGCAAGTTTCTCTAAGTTAGGTTTATTTTTTGAGTATTTTTCCTGTTTTGCTGATACAAAACGATGTAAGAAACTTTATGTTTATATAACGTATAATATGTTCTAAATAGTTTATACTTACGCGTGGTCAATAAACAAATAAGAAGTAATTCATAGACTTGTTATGCTATAGGTATTCTAAGTTTCCACATACTCGGTATCAATAGTTAAACTAGGCGTTTTCAGTTAAGAGAGCTTAACTTGTCAACCAAGAATGCAAACTAGTCTAGAACATTTAAGATATCATTAATTTAATATTATCATTTTTCCCTAAGAAACTAGTACTTAAGGAAAAGCCAAAATGTTACCCTAATTTTCCGCAAGAAAAGCGAACAATGACTAATAATCTGTCACACCAATAAAAAACGTCTTCCATCACGAAGGTAGCGAAACAAAAATATGCGGCATAAAATAAAAATATCTGTTTATTATAGTGACTAGAGTATCTTTGCGTTTAGGTGTTATTTATCACCAACGATCGGGGTTATTGCGTAAATACATCATTCATCGCAATTGCAATCGCTTTGAAATTAAATGGCATTACTGATGTCTTTGATAGCGATTTTATTTTGAAAGCAATTTATTTTGAATGATATATCTTTATTAGTTGCATCGTTCAATTTATTCCTTTTTTATGTCAATTTAGTGAATGAAGAATAATACAAAAACTATTATACCGTGGTCTTAATTTTTTCATTTTTTCAAACTTCAACGCATCATAAAATTCGTATTGCTTGTTATAAAAAAATAAAAAATTATAAGTCCAAAAAACCCTTAAAAAAAGCCTAAAAGTTTTTTTTTTTGGGAACTAGCCTATTATGAAGCATGCCGAATTCACACACATTTTGTAAATATGTAGTTACAAAGTTAAGGATAATATTCTATCAAAAACAGATGTAATGTGCAAGATTAAGCTTCGGCACCATTTAAAAGTCGCTATTGCCATTATAATCGCTATCCATTTGAAAGCGATTGCGATGGATGTGTAAATTAGACGGTGAGGGCGCCATCGCTCCAGTTAATCGCCAGTCATCATCTCCATGAACTCTGGAACGAGAAGGTTCATTTATTATTTCCCGAGCTAAATTCTGGGGAAACTGGAATCATTATTACAGATTTTAATTTCAGAAACAGTATTTTATGGATTAGGGTCTTGATTATTTTGATTGGAATTCTAATCATTCATTTTTAAAGAGACAGTGACAGTTTTCTTCTGTAATCAATCAGAAATGGACTCAATTTGTCTTGTGCTTTAATCAGATAATGGACTGAATGAGCTACAGTGTCAGGTGGTTATTTTAGCTACGATGATGTAGTAAAGTCTAGACTGGACTGGAAAGAGTTATAATTAAGGCTGTAAGCAAAACAACTAGGCTTTCTCACTCACTCTGAAACTACCATTAAAGTCTAGAATTTATAGACCCAGATTAGTTAGTATCAATCTCTGAGGATATCTTGTCGAACTGGTCTCAAGTCATCTAGTAGTTCCAGCACTAATGATGTAGTGGTTTCACAATAAGATTGAATCCATTGGCTATATGCCACTGAACCTATTTTCTCACCAAGTCCAAGGTATGTACCATCAAATTCGACAGACCCAAAGTCGTCAGTATCGATCTCAGCGATCATCTCGTGGAGCTGGTCCGGAGTCAGCTGATCATCGCTGCGAAGACCTGACAGAGTCGAGCAGTTGGAATCACTCCGTCACCTTTAAGATATTTAGCCACTGCCCTTACTGGATAAGTCCACGGTACATACCATCAAATTCCACAGTTCCAGAGTCGTCAGTATCTCGGCGATCATTTCGTTGAGCTGGTCTGGCTGGAGTCAGAAACCTAGTACTCCCAGCACGAGTATAGCAGAGTTTAGTCCGCTGCCTCTACGCTATTTAGCCACTGGGCTTACCAGCGGTTCCAAGGTACTTTTTTTTTAATCCACAACGAGGAAGCTTTTGGCCTGTATCTCACCTGATCGTAAGTGACGATCAGGCCGAAGGTGGAAGCGAGCTTCACCCGGAATCTTCAACCACAGAGGAACTGGCTATCTTACCTCTAACTGCTGGAACACAACAACGCTGTTAACATTGTTGTTATAGCGACAGACTTAGATAAGATGATGGTAGCTAGCCAGGCGGACTTAGAACAAGCCCTACCACCAACCAAACCGAACAGAAAAATCTGCCCCCACTGGGAATCGAACCCGGGACCTCTGTGTCTGAAGCAGATGGTCTTGCCACTAGACCACAGAGGCGGGTACTTACACTTACCATCAAAGTCCACGGTCCCAGAGTCGTCAGTATCGATCTCAGCAATCATTTCGTTGAGCTGGTCTGGAGTCAGCTGGTCATCCAGTGCCGCGAGGATCTCGCGCAGGCTGGATGTGGGTATGTAGCCGTTTCCTGTGAATAAATGTTTTTATTTACATAACTTTTTAGGAGCATACTGCTTTCACATACTCTTTTATCATGTAGAATTACTCTCCTGCAGAGTGTTAACATGAAGTGAGGAGATCGAAATGAGCATTGTGTTTGTGTTTCGTTTTAACATTTTGACAGTCGTATAGAGGATTAGTAATCTAATTTTAATCGATATACGAGTAACTTAGTAGACGATAACCTGATAACTGTAGTTAGTTATAATCGAATTAATTGTCTTGATTGCTTATACTTCTTACACGGCAATAAGCTTTCAAACGCATGAATAAAATAACAATACATTACGATTATTTCACGACAAACCCAACTTTATTTCATTAAAATTTCCCTTTCATTCAAAAATCCTCAACACCAAGCAACAGCAAAACGATTCCAACCCCTCAATCCCAAGGAGAAAGCAAGGTCAAAACTATTTATTTAGTATAATCCTTGTTTACGGACCCACTAGACCAGTAGCTCCACAAACAGCAGGTGAGAACCCCGCAAATAATCTACGGCAAATAGTTGCTTAGAAAGCTTCGCTGGATTGGCCACAGTTTCTTACGCCCGTATTCACAAACGATGCTTGCTTATGTGAAGCAGCAAATCGAACGCACAGCCTTGAATAGAGCTCTGTGATTGGTTCGTGTGTCACCATGTGCGTCCACGCGCACTGCGAGACCACATAGTAATGTTTGAATACGGGCGTTAGACGGCTACTTCAGTTAATGTAGTAAGTAGATAAGTGTATTAATATTTATGAAACTTCCTTTGTAAAATGATAATAAATTAAAAAAAAAAATAGCTGCCCTACTGACCAAAAAGTTCCATAGAAGCTGAAGGAGTAGGTTGAAAGAACAAATCAAAACCGTAATGACAAATTGAATCGCTTTAGCGACTAAAAATTTAAAATAAAGATACGTCTTTCGTTAGTTTTTACTGTAACTTTATGTTACGAGCGACACAAAATATTCTTCTTCCTAAATCGCTTGAACTGTGACAATTTATAAGTAAACTGCCAGTCATTGGACACTTAGGAAAGTTATTGGACAGTTATTTACTGAATTAAAAATAGCATTTATATTACAACAACTGAGAAATTCCGACTGATGGAGATAAAAGGGCGTTTTTTTGAAGGAATATTCATTGTATTTGAAGGAATATTCATTTTAAGAAAATTCAAGGGTTGTTTTGTCCAATGACTGGCAGCGTCCAATGACTGTCGGTTTACCCTACTACTATATCAGAACAGAATTCAGTGACCTGTTACACCTTAAATTATAACTCTTTTATTTAATCCTCTATTAAGTAAATGTATACTTGGGTATTCATTCAGTAATTTTTGAATAATTTTGTAAACAAAAGATAGCTCGCAGTGCTCTACAAAACAATTGAACATCGATAAGAGACAAAATAGTTTCGTGAAATATACAGTTCAAGTATGGTCTTTGTCAAATCGATTTGTTTGCTCTATAGATACATTGTATATACAGCATCATATCGTTATTTTGCCAAGCATTTTATAGCCTTAATCGCGCCCATATCAATAGTCGGGCATCGTTTGGAGAGCGTCCAACGAATCGATGCGAGCAATTATCGCCAAAATTCATTGTTTTTTCGTACTCGTAAATTGAAACAGCATTACAATAACGGTTTACAGTAGGCAGTAGTGTGGCAACATTGATTTAAAACTACGAAGTGATATACAAACAAAGTCCTACCAGCAACTATCTCAACAACTTTTTCAAAGTTATAAGAAAATAATTAAACAGTTTGTTACTAAACAAAAACTTTGCAAAAATCTAGATCTTCCAAATAGTTAGTCATTAGCAAATAAGAATAAATGTGACAACACTATAAATATTATTGTAGTTTTTCAACGAATCGAGACACAAAAGAAATATTGTTAGGTACCGTGGTCTCATACCACTTAATATGCTTTTACAAGATATTTCTTTAGAATAAGATCATCAATCATCAATATTATGGAATTGATGAACGACTTAGGCAGCATTTTAAAAATATTTTTTTTTTTAATTAAAGCTCTATCAATTTTTCTCTCAAAAAGAAAATATTTACAATTCCTATAGTTCAACATTTTAATTACATTTCATGCAAAAGTCATCCCGTTAACAATTTATATCATTTTAAATAGCAATTCAATTCACTCGCTCATGATTTACGATGCCCATTTATGTTTCAATGTTTAATCAAACTACTTATGTTTTCATGCGGCCCAATATTTATTGTTATTTAATGAGAGAGAATCAACTGCATTGAAATTTTATTTATTTTTAAACAGCGTTATACCAAGTTGCTTGCTAGCTTTGCGTGAAAACAAATGACATGAGTATTCTTTCAGGCAAAATTTATTTGAGTAAAAATGTTCAGTAACGGATGCGCGTTCAATTAAATCTACAGGAATAGTTTATCAGTTTAAAAAAAAAAGAAACGTTATGAGTAGGGACTGTAGTTATTTTACCTACCAAACAGCTGGCTTAACTATTAATAGGTCATACAAGCATACATACACATTATTTAGCATGTTTTCAACATGAAAACTTATAACGCAAAAAATCACTAAAACGATCTGGTTAAAAATGTATCGGACATATAAACTGACATGTTGGTTTTAAAACGATTTAGCTAGCATGTTGCTGTACACCCGTGTTGCTGAGTGCTATCAGCACGATCGAAATACAAAGCGTGTTTAGTTACTATAGTTTGGGCCAGTAGACTTGCTTACTAAGTGGGGAAATAGCTTAACAAATATCGCTTATCTTGTGTATAGGTATAGTATCTCAGTACCTCTAGCATGAGAGTATTTCTCAAAAAAAATGTACGTAACGAAACAGTAGTAACGAAATAGTAAGGCCATAAGGCTTGTTATACATTGGCGAAATATTGTAAATGCTCTTCATTTATTCAATTCGAAATATTTGTAAGTATGCACCCAAATACGGGGTAATATTAAAGGGTTAGAAATAAAATAAGGGAGTAATCATTCATACTATTTTAATAAAATTATTTTTGTTCCATCATGTTTATCCATTTTGAGTCGTTCTCTGTAAGCTTTTTGCCTTTCGGCATTGGTTTTTGGCGGCATTCCTAAAAAAACAAAAGAAGTAATCACATAAAAACGTAATCTAAATGATTTGATAATTTTTTGCTGGTGGCACTTCTGTAAAGCAGATAGTATCCAATCCTTTTGTTATTAACGCTCTATATTTTTTGAAATAATTAGACATTTCTCTCACTTTAAGCGGCATTGGATTTTTCATCGGATTTTGAAACTGTTACAGATATATTAAAGATGATCCCATATTTATGTCATTGTCAATATCAGTATTATGATCACAATTCTTTTTATTTTATTCATGACCTTTTAGACCAGTTGGACACATTAGATAGCTTCTTGTAGTATCGTGCAATATATTTTTAACTTTTAATTAAAATCTAGTCATACTGTAGCAATTTGGACGATTTATTTTATTTACAAGATCGGTATCTTATTGTCTATGATGACCGCAATCAACATCACTATTACGTGGATTTCTAACAATGAAGTACGGCATTGCCTTGTGCCGATTTTACATAGATTTTATCGACACAAATTATGGAACTTCATAGGATATGGAGCAGGCCACGCCCTAAAATGTCCGGATGTCGTCATAGTATTATGGAATACATATAAAAGACTTTTATTATTTCATTTTCTAATCCTCAAGTGTCCATTACAATCTAATTAATATTTATGTATTCAAAAAGTAAGAGATCAATTTTGATACTTTACTGCTGTGCCCAGGAATCTGAGGCCGTTTCTGACAATGTCCTTTCATTATTTGTATAGACTATTTAAATAGTACTTACAAATCCTTAAATATTTTGCTCTTCAAAAGCCTCTACATGTCTCATAATCTTTTTACCCTACCAACGCTTCGAGACCAACATTTGGCAAGTGCTGTGAAGTTAAATTCATTGTCATACTCAAATATTTTTAACTAGCGTCCGCCCGCGACTTCGTACGCGTGGATCTCGTTTTACTAAAAATCTGAACCGCGTAAGATAGATGAAGGGGGTTCATCTATCTTACGCGGTTCAGATTTTTTCATACAAATGTTTTTTCTCGCTAACTCCCGTTCCCGTGGGAATTTTGCAATATCCTGTTGTAACTAAGCTTTAAGTTTACTAAGGTACCTGCATGCCAAATTTCAAGAGTCTATCTTACGCGGTTTAGATTTTTTCATACAAATGTTTTTTCCCACTAACTCCCGTTCCCGTGGGAATTTTCCAATATCCTGTTGTAACTAAGCTTTAAGTTTACTAAGGTACCTCCATGCCGAATTTCAAGCGTCTAACTTAAGCGGTTTAGATTTTTCATACAAAAGTGTTTTCCCGCTAATTCCCGTTCCCGTGGGAATTCCTAAGTATCCTATAACCCGCCCAGGAGTATGAAGAATAATTGTACCAAGTTTCGTTAAAATCCGTCGAGTAGTTTTTGTTTCTATAAGGAACATACAGACAGACAGACAGACAGACAGACAGACAGACAGACAAAAATTTTACTGATTGCATTTTTGGCATCAGTATCGATCACTAATCAACCCCTGATAGTTATTTTGAAAATATATTTCATGTACAGAATTGACCTCTCTACAGATTTATTATAAGTATAGATTAGAAGGCGATGCTTTTCATAGCTTTACAATTTTTGAGATGAGAGCACAATAAGGAAATATTTTGTTTGGTAAAATTACGTCAATACACGAATAAAATTACATTATCATGCTATGGTCCTTACTACGGTAGTACGAGTACGGTAGTCCTTTTATGACAGGATAGCACACCCTGGCCAAAAAGCTAGTTTTAAGCCCACCAATCCAAGGTTAAGTGGATAATTTAGGCTCTACTTTTCGTTAGCTTACTATGGCCAGTCTAAAATTTGCCAAACAAATCCCCCGGGCGTCGGTTTGTTTGTTGACAAACAGCAACTGCTTTCATGTCCGTCGGCCAATTTAGCTGGTATCAGTGAGTACAAGGGCGTTACGTAACTTTGTATACTCGTTGCACATACACTTTAAATTGGCAGTTTAGTTGCTTTCAGTAGTCATTAATTTTGTTTTTTTAAGAGACACGTTACGAGATCGAATCAGAAATGAGGAGATCCGTAAACGAACTAAAGTCGCTGACATAGCCCGACGGATTAGCAAGCTGAAGTGGCAATGGACAGGGCACATAGTACGCGGAACTGACGGCCGATGGGGCAGCAAGGTTCTGGAGTAGAGGCTGCGTACCGGAAAACGCAGCGTGGGACGTCCACCCACAAGGTGGACTGACGACATCATAAAGGTTGTAGCAGGAAGGCGCTGGACGCAGACCGCTACCAACCGGGCAACATAGAACGAATTGGAGGAGGCCTATGTTCAGCAGTGGACGTCTTATGGCTGAGATGATGATGATGAAGAGACGTCAACAAGTAGGACCTACTCATGCTAAGAGATTTAGCTAGAACGGTAGTAGAACACTGTTTCATAATATATGTTTTCATGATTAAGAGGGATAATCTCAGGTCATTAAAATGGATCGTTTTATCTTTTTTAAAAGGGTTCGTTATCAATTATAATGTAAAGGGGTTTTAAGGTGAAATATAATTTATTTTGACTTTAAACTCGTAAGTCTCATATTTTGGAAAAACCAAACAACATTCCAGTTACTGGCTCTAAGCGGCGTTTGCCTTTACATTATTTTATGAAATGAATTTTATTGTCCTTTACATTTTATGAAAAAAATCTCATATTTTCCATACACGTGTGTTCCTGGCTACCTGTTTGTGACAGTCGTTTATCAACACGCTCCCAGCTCTTCACAAAATGCAAATCGGAAAACTTTTCAGCGCGTGTTTGAAAATAACATATTTTATAGGTACTAGCTTCCACGCTTCGCCCGTGGATTTTGATCCGTCACGAGTTTGAGTCACATTTTCATGAGCATTTTTAATAAAACCGTTGATGTTTTTCTATAAAATTAGCCTAATTTTCTTCTGTATAACATCAGCATCATATTGAAAGGGCCATCAAAATAAGTTTAGCTTTTACGGAGAAATTAAATAAATTCAATTAATTTTACACCCCTCACCAACTATGGTTTACCAGTTAACCATCTTTCTTACAAGTTATTCACGAGTACTACGATGACAATGCGGATGCGGGCAGCGCAGGACCGGTTCTTATGGAAAGCCTTGGGGGAGGCCTTTGTCCAGCAGTGGACGTGATTTGGCTGAAACGAACGTACTATGATGGCAATAATATTATTTTCCCGCAAAAACAAAGATGTTTCCCCTTGGGAAAAACGAGTCGTATAGCAATCTTTCATGTCATACCCACAAATCATATCGCTTCCTCAAAACTGCGGAGTCAAAGCTTACTGCGTTCCATTTCACACAGATTAGGCACTCTGAGCGTTTGATGTGAGCGGAACTGAGGGGCATCGGTTCGAATTCAAATTTGGAATGGAACTCTGTGCTTACCATGAGTTTACGTTTATAGGTGTGCTCGCTAGCGACTGCGTAAAAAAATGACATTAATTAGTATGACATATTGTGCAGCGCCCCTAGCGGCTACTTTCATGAAACAAAATCTTCATAGAGATTTTTGACGTAATCGCTAGCGAGCACACCTAACGTAAACTCATGGTAGGTACACTGAGGACTTGGATCCTCAGTGAAGCAGCTATAGATTAAAATTTAGAAGTTTTATGTAGATCTTTTTCGGGATTTTGTTTTTAATATAAAAAGTTTGTCTTATATTCACAAACGTTGCTTGCTTAACACGTTGAGTGCGAAACCAGGTCTATAGACCTTGTGTACGTCTCGCTTACCGTGCGGCTAAGAAAATTATAGTCTTCCTTGTCGTGCGAAAGGCATAACTTCAATTGGGTCCGGTGTAGGAAAGTGATGAATATATATCTATGATGTATTCTTAAAATAGAATCCAATAATGTACCTACCTTAATACCAGGTTTTTAGACCTGGTACCGCACGGAAGTAATAAAATGTCTTCACAATGCGAAACCAGGTCGAAGCACCTTGTACTCTGCGCACCTGGTACCGCACCCCATGCTAGCTTCGTGCAGCCAGTGTTGCCTCGCATTAGTAAGAAACGCACATGTCGACATGGCGTCAAGAGAAACAAACAAAATCAAAACTGCAAATTGATTATAATTTAATTTGCTACACGATTTATTGCTAATTTAAATAATGTTTTTCGTGACAAACATTTGAAGTTGTAACTAATATGTTTTCTTTAAATATAGCTTTTTTAAGTATTTATGCACGTATGTCTTATTTGTAAAATATTTAGACTAAATTGTTAAAACATCTTTGTTTGTTACTTTTTTAAATTTTTATTAAAACTTAATTTAAACTATCGATATTTGTATTTCACATCCCTAGAATACCCACCAGACTTCCCTACTTCAGTGCGGCACAGGGTGCATAAGCCTTGTATTTTGAATATAGCTATAATTTTTATACTAAACAAGTTATTCACGAACGCCTTCAGGTGTATGTCAATAAATGCATTATTATTAATATTCAAAGAAAAAAACACAATATCTATTAACATGAAGCCAAAAATAAAATTAATATATTTTAAATATTACAAGGTCTTTAAGCCTTGTGCCGCCACAATGTAAGTTTTAATACCAGGTTTACAGACCTTGTACCGAAGGAATGGAAAGTATTAGAAAGTTACTGCCGCAGCAAAGGTGTTAAGTGAAGCAGCAAATCGAGCGCACAGCGTTGAATAAAGCTCGGTGATTGGTTCGTGTGTCATAACGTGCGTGCACGCGCACTGTGAGACCTCATTGTAATGTTTGTGAATAAAGGCGAGAATCTCTTATGTTATTTATACATCATAGCGCTTCTCCAAACCGACTGTATCCCATTTCACGCCGATTATGCTCTGCGTTGAACCGTTTCATGTGAGCGGAACTGATTCTGAGTGGCCCTCGGACAGTTTATGGGACAGGACATAAATTAGGACTTCCAAGGGTCTGCTAGGGCTTCCTTTTGATGTATGTCAGTGAAATTGCAAGATAAAGTAAATGGAGGATTAGAAAGAGAAATACACTGACAAATAAAACTACACTGTAGGTACTGGAGAGTTAACCTAATGACGTATGTTAAAAGGTGATGGAGTGGACTGTATGTTGCTGGGATAGGCTTGCTGGTGGTGATTAATGCAAGAAGCAAAGGAAAAACAAAAGGACCGAAACAGTGTATTTGCTCAAGACAAAAAAATAGACCGGCGCAAGAGCCGGTAAAAAAGCAACTTCAAAAATCCAGAAACAATAATTAAAAAAAGTAAAAAACCATAAATATTATCAAAAAAGGATTGCTGGCCAATCTGCCAGCAACAACGTCTTTCCGGCAAAATAAAAATAAAACAAATAAGTACTTAGCTATTAACAGTCTTAACTGTAGGACTGTAGGGATAGACTTATCTCTATTACGAATAATTACTTTTTCCCCTAGATGTTTAGAATAATATGTTGCATCGTACTTACTTGTGACCATTACTCAATATGTTTTTATCTGGCTCACAGACAACTTACGGAGCTGACATCGTGACATCTTATATTTATGATTGTAGGCGCTATTTAACATTAAAAGTATAAAGTAAAGAGGAAGCTGTTATTAAGGAATAGTTTCTATCACTGACCTTCTTTATCGTAGAGTCTAAAGGCTTCCTTCAGCTCCTTCTGTAAGGCTTCGTCATCCTCGTCCAGGAAATGGGTGGCCACGCGAAGGAAAGAGTCGAAATTCAGCTTGCCACTGCCTGAAAGTAAACAAAAACATATGTAGGTATTTACTTTCTCAAAAAAGTTTGAAAGATGTTAGTTTAGTCTGGGCGCAGACCATCGATTTTTCGTCGGCCGATAGTTAATTCAGGCAGTTGATCAGTATGGGCATGATGGAAGTGCACATTACCCCGATTTGATTTGGCCGATTCTTCATACAATTTAAAATCGGGCACAACTATCGGCCAACTAAAAATCGGTGGTCTGCGCCTAGTCATAAGGACAACCTTAACCCGATATTTTTTTATTTCTTAAAAATAATTGCCTGAATTTTCTTTCAATTTTGTATTTCTTTAAAATGTCAGTTTTGTTTGGTACAATAGTCTAACTACATTTAATTGATTACCTCAAACCATTAACCGCATGACTGATCTTTTGGGAGTAAGCGAGTCTTTTTTTGACGTAACGTTACAAAGTCTACTAAAAAGTAAACAACATCAACTATATTATTATAACACAGAAATATTTAAATGTGAGAGACAGTTATGACAACTGAAAATTTACTAAAACTAATCTTTTAGTGAGTCAAGTGTTACAGCACTCAAAACTAAGCATAAACTGTGCTCTTAACTAACCGCACCAGTTAACTGGGGCTGTTAACTCAACTGCTAGCATTAAGAGTTTCTGCAAGTTTACAGCAAATATAGAACAGGCAGGTCATATTTTGTAAAAAAATAGTTTTAGAAACTCGTTGAAGTCAACCACTGGATTTTTCCAATTTAAGTTTCGAGCTCAGGTTTCAAACTTTGGCCGTTTATCGCATCCACGATGTATTGATATTACTGAAAGACTGTAATTTCAGCTGATGTGCCATCCTTCTTAATGTTCGGTGCTATACTTAATGCAGATTCTTTTATTTAAATCAGCTAACGAAAGAAAAAGATGGAGTTTTTTATATGAAACAGGCACACATCATATTCACAACGTAATTTTTGTGAGAATTAAAATGTAAAATTTTTAGCACAGCCTCATGCGACCAGCATAATTGCTGCAGCTGGCTCATATATTCTGGCTGTGTCGCTTATTAGTGTAACGGACTTATCTCCAGCCATTACGCTTGTCGCTAGAGATAAGAGTCGGATGTGGTGACATTACGAGCCTCGCTTAGTGATAGTTACCAGTGTGCTTACCATGAGTTTACGTTAGGCGTGGTCGCAGCGACTGCGTAAAAAAGTCATTCTTTTAAATCCATAACGAGGAAGCTCTTGGCCAGTATCTCACCTGATGGTAAGTGATGATCAGGCCGAAGGTGGAAGCGAGCTTCACCCGGAATCCTCAACCACGGAGCAACTGGCTATCTTACCTCTAACTGCCGGAACACAACAATACTGTTAACATTGTTGTAATGGCGACAGACTTAGGTAAGATGGTGGTAGCCAGGCGGACTTAGAACAAGCCCTACCACCAACCAAAACCGAACAGAAAAATCTGCCCTCACTGGGAATCGAACCCGGGACCTCTGCGTAAATGTATGACATATTGTGCAGCGCCCCTACCGGCTACTTTCAAGAAATAAAATCTTCATAGAGTTTTTTGACGTACTCGCGAGCAGACTTAACGTAAACTCATCGTAAGCACACAGTTATAATCACGAGTGGTGTTGATGATTTTACTGCGCTAGGGGAACTGAATTGCGATTGCGGTCAAATACCTGCCTTGGCTAGCATAAAAAAAAAAATTGAATGTTTTATGAAGTTGGCGGTTACTAAAGCTGTTTTGTAGATTCAGGAAACTGGATTAACAGTTAATGCCTAATTATGAAGTTAGAATGCTTGTACAAATTATAGTTAGTTAATTGTAACATAGCAAACCTCAAATATTTCAATAGATTTTAATATTGTACATGCTTTGTACGTACATTGGCATAAATAGCTTGTTATTATTTGTTAATTATAACAGAAATAAAATGACCTGAATATAGGTCAATACTCTCTGACTCTCTGTATGTTGAAACTACATTTAAATTATTAATACACAAATATTATTTAACGCCAACTTTAGCCGTCCAAAATGAAATTAAACTTGGTGATTCATTAAAATTCAGCAATTACTACACTGAAATCAACTGTATTTCAATTATTATAAATTAATTCCGTTCACAATATTTTATTATGTTTAAAATAGTGTTGTATTTTCATTATTGCCAACAAACCTAAAAAGAAGTCTAATAACTTCTAATAAAATGTATTTTTAGACCTTTTTGGTGCTTTGTGTGAACACTAAAAAAAAGATAATAATGATGCCAAATGTTAATTTCATAAAGTAAAAAATATACCTAAAGTACCAAACACAAAATTTGCACTAAAAAAACTAACGACCAACTCAAAAATCCAACTCTAATAAGAGAAAAACTTTTAAATATGAACAAAATATCCCTAAAGTATAGCAATGGCGAAACCCCGAAGTCCTGACGTGTGGAAACAAAAATCTAATCACGGAATCGACCCACGAGTTTTTGCCACAGTTTGAACAGTTCAAAAGTTGTGGGACAGTAGGGATGTGTGAACTTTTGGAATCTTCTGGTACTGACGGACGAGGATTGTGATTTGGAATAAAAATGTGGGGCTGACTTTTGATTGATTTAGGAAATATAGCGCCATTTTCAGTCGAGTTGAACCATTATTATATCAAGGGTTCATGTTCTATTTACATTAAGCGACATCATGGGTGATATTGAGTTATATTATAAGTAGCACGGGTAAAGGATTAAGTGGATGGTATGAGAGTGTAATTTATGCTCGTGGATATTTTAATTTAAAAACACGGCTTACTTTGAGATCATGCAGTGTATCAACTGTATTTTTTATGATTTTAATATCATTTATGAAAAATGTATTTTTTTTTCATTTCAGGACAAAATATTATCATAAAAATTACTTATTGTATACTTACAGGGTCATAAGTTGAGACTAAGTTTAAGATCACCACCTTTGTACACTTATGAAGCAATAACTAAATGATTATGATTATGATTAAATCTTGGCGGTCTTTAGAATTTAGGATACTACTAGATTAAAAATTATAATCTGAATGTCAGTCCCTAAAAACAGGGTAGGTACATCTCTACCGACTTTCCTTCGATCGAGTAGGGTTGGTAGCGTCTAGTAACTAGACTCAAGTTTGGTTTATCACGATTGACTTCGGTTGTAAAATCGTCCTAAATATGATATCAAAATCTAGTACCCAAACTTAGTTACAGCTTTCTCTAGACTTGATTAGATACGAAGATATAAAACGTTAATGTCTCGGCTATAAACAATAAAATTTTAATTTTAGTTCGATTTCGATAAAATTTGAGTAGATAAATAAATCAGGTTTTCATATCAGTTGACGCTCGATTAAATTCAGTGATTATTATACTCCCATTGCACTCGCACTTTACCTACCAATTTTTTACTGAATAACAGTTGGTTTAACCTTAATTATTACATAATCAAAAATCAAACTAAAATGCAGGTGACCACAAGTAAAAAAGTTAAAACTAGGAGCAACTCTTTTTAAATAGATGGACTTTCCTCTTAAATAGAAGAACTTTTAACATTAATATGATTTTTAGATTACTATTGTTTTATTACGAATTCACATTTCCACCCATTATGTGAATCAGTGTTATTTTAGAACGATTTCAAAACACAACCGTGTCAAATGGTTTACTTGTGAACAAACAAAGTGTTTACTGGCCAGTGTTACTAAAATGAATTGCATTAAATATTGTTTGGAATGCGAAATGTTTTTGGCGCCAGCACTTAATACGAGTATAATACATTTCATGTATTATGTATGATACATAGATAAATACGATTGTAGGTACATTAGCATACACGTATAAGCGGTTGTACTCATAATAGTTTGCTTATAATTTCTGTTCCCAGTAGAATTAGAGCCCATAATAGCTGTCAATGTAGATTTTCAAAGGAGTTGTGTACAAAAAAAAAACAGATTCCATTTTTTGAGGTAGTCATGACTTTATTATCCACGTTAAAGACTTCTTAGTTTTAGAACAAAACTACATTTTCTATACATAGAGTGTAAGTTTAGTAGTGACTGCGACTAATAGAGGGCGTTGTACCGTTTTTAGAACGCAGTAATGTTCTACTTATTACTTCATTGTTTTAGACCTTTAAAAAACTGCATTGGAATTCCATATTTTCTAGGATACATTAATTAGCTATTATTTTTTAATTTATTTACCAAATAAAACCCGTTATAACAAAATAACACCAAACGATTGACGCTAGTAACAAGTTTTCTTTTCATTCGCTTCTAACTTCTGTAACACCTTCCAAAATTGGTGATAATCTTTTATTCGTTTAGGGTCAGGTAGATAATGACCTAGATTTCCTGCTTCGTAGAGAAATTCTCCCGGGTCGGTGAGGTTATAATGAGTCCGTTTCGACCCTTCTTGGACAATAAAATTAAAGGCTGAATCAGCGCGAGGTTGAATACTTATCTTTATCCTCATAAGTGAGCTAGCGACCTAAAAATAAATCTCTATTTTTAGTAAAAAAAATGAAAACCTTCCATGTGTGTGAAAATTGGGGAATTACCCTTAAAATAAATGAACGCTTTGACACAAGATACAAGAATAGTATTATCACACATAGAGACCAGACTATTCTATAAATATAAACTGACGTATATTGAACAATTTTATTTATTGAAAATCGATTCCAACATTAGTCGTAGGTAGTAAACTTGGCACCGATAATCCCTTGTCCGTTCTGTGTTCTATTCTTTGCCAGTCTTGGCATATGACAAATAAACCAGAGATTTGATGAGGCAGTTATATCACGGAACTGTGTCAGGGCCGCTGTAAAGCTGCCTCAAACTCTTAGATTGTCCCCTCTTGTATTATAAAGGACGTAGCACACTTATCGACCCGCAAAGGGATCAACACCGTATCAACTCGAGGCGGTAGTATTCTTTGTATGAAACTCCATACTGCAACGCACACTTATCCGCACCGTAACGTAAGCGC